GAAAAACATTTAAGGGAAGTCTTGAAAGTCTGAAGAAAATCCAGTGAACCGTTCTTGAAATATCTTGCTGACAATTCAGGTTAACATGCTGAAATCTTCAAAGTGTCGCTGTGACCTTGAAAATTAAGTGAAGGTCACCAAAATTGACTGGGCCCTGCGCCTTCCCTGGATGAAGCTTGGTGTCAAATATGAAGAAACTCCAGTGAATGGTTCTTGAGGTATCTCGCTGACAAGCAGAATCTGCAGGTTAATATGCTGAAATCTTCAAAGTGTCTCTGTGACCTTGAAAATTAAGTGAAGGTCACCAAAATTGACTGGGCCCTGCACCTTCCCTAGATAAAGCTTTGTATTGAATATGAAGAAAATCCAGGGAACGGTTCTTGAGATAACTTAACATGCAGGTAAAACGTGAAAGTCCCCTTGTGACCTTGAAATGAAGGTCAAGGTCACCAAACCTGACTTGGACCTTTCTTATACTGTGATGAAGCTAGGTACCAAATATGAAAAGAATCTGCTCTACGGTTCTTAAGATATTCCAATTCGTATGTACGGACGTACATACAGACAGACGAACGGAGCCTAATACTATATCCCCCGCTTCAGCTAAACGCGCGGCGGGGGATAATAAGGATGTATTTTTACAATGCTTTCTGATAAGTAAAAAAACTTGTTCATGGTTTGGCCCATACATTGTAATTGAGTTTGAATATTTTATAACAGGAGGTAATATGACGGTGAGGTTTCCTAATAAATATGGAGGAAAAAATCACATAATTGTATTTATCGAGCTTTAATAAATGTTTTATTATTAACATTTCACATCTGGAGCAGTGTTGTATACATGCGCAGTGAAGCGGTCATGAAATGAGACGCATTTTCAATCCGAATTGATAGTGTCTAATTTTATTGATTGTCAAATCAAATTGGAGTATTTAATTATAACATTATCAACTAGAACTGGGAAATGTTCAAGTTCTATCAGGGAATTTTTACCGATATTGCCTGTGGACTTGGAGCTGAAGATCAGCCTGTGAGCAGGTCAATATATTGGTATTCTATTCACCAGTCCAGTACAATTTATAGCAGCACTGCAAGATATGGTGCATTGCTCCGAATCAGGTGTAACTTCAGATACACTCACAACAACCGCAGCGAGACAAGCATCAAGACCTAAAGATCAATTCTGGCCCACAAGCACCATAGGGAGACAGGCATCAAGAACTAAAGATCTACCACAGGTAGACAAGCTTTACAAGCAGGTAATTAATATTACGCAATTTCTTACAACCTATGGTATGGGTGAAATTGGTTCTACAGACATACCATAAAAAAAAAAAAAAAATTCTGCGAAGAACAAAATATTGAGTTCCACAAGGGCATGTGAATCACTGCCTGTACCAACTATACACAAGCTGAACTGGCATTGATCTGAAGAATAAATAGTGACAGAATCAATAACAAATAAACAACTGATGTCATCAAGTTTCAGTGTAATGCATTTACTGCTCTGCTGGCTTTAAAGCATTATGCCAGTGCTGTCAGTTCTGAAGAATACCAACAACTTGCTTTCTTCTCAGACCCACAAAGTTACTGTCTCATGTGCAACGTCATGGTCAACATTTTTTAACCAGTTCCAAATTTCTCCAACACATGGAGCAGAAAACACAACTGAACTTGGCTTTTTTCTTCTACTGAACTTAAGACCTAACACTGGATAAACTAGACTCAAGCCAACTGATTCCCAGCAAGTTTGTTTCAAGTTGGTCACACCTGTCATTACAAAGCAGACCAATCACTTCTTCCCAATATGGCTACTTCCTACTATGACAACTTTCCACAATGACTACTCCACATTATGACTACTACTTCCCACTATGGGGTGGTGGGGTAGCCTAGTGGTTAGAGCGTTCGCTCATAACACCGAAGACCTGGGTTCAATTCCCCACATGGATACAATGCGTGAAGCCCATTTGCGGTGTCCCCCGCCGTGATAATGCTGAAATATTGCTAAAAGGGCGCAAAACTAAACTCACACACTCACTCACTCACCTCCCACTAGGACTACTTTCCATTATGACTACTTCAAATTATGACTACTTACCATAATGACAACATCCCATTACTACTTCCAATTATGACTACTTCCCATTATGACTACATCCCATTGTGACTACATCCTATTATGACCTCATCCCATTGTGACCATATCCCATTATGACTACCTCTTCAGTACCCAGACTGTATGGTTCAGTGACTGCTGATTCCACTTATCCGTTTCTCAGCCTGAAGCTGGATTTAGTGTTGGAGGAGTCAGTATGGGGAAAACACAACACTGCTTCTTTGTAGTATTCATTTGACTTGAGCACTTATTTACTGATTCATCTGTTTCAAGTTACAAGAGGCATTCAATGTAGCAAGTGAAGGAAGTGTTGGTTAAGCTTATCAGTTCTAAATTTGAGAATGCACATTTGTGGGAAAGAAGTAATTTCAAAATCTTACACTTTTCGAAAGATAAGGTTTCTTTAAAGTTTTTGCAGCACAAACCATCCTTTGAACTTTCTGTGATAGAGATGTGCTGGTATCACAGATATTGATCTTTATTTGTTCTACTTTTGAAGACAGCTATTGCATATCAGCGTACTGTCAAACAACTGGTTGAGACTACAGTAATTAAGTACTCTTTTCACAAAACAAACCAATTGGAGTATATCTGCAATATGGGGTCCCTTTTGAGTGATCAAAATGTTTGCTGATTAAGGGATTTCCATATCTGCAGCAATTTCATGCCAAAATAGTATATAGTAGTTACACATTATAATTTACAATAGTACTCTTCACAACCATGTTCAGGAAAAAAAACTAGCGGCAACATTTAGAAATGTTTAAATGTCCCCTCCCTAATGATTTGTATCTTCAAACTCCGAAATGTCTGAACTTGTGTAAATATTGAGGAAATCATTGTTTTAAATACTGATATCATGTAATCACAAGCAAGTAAATATTTCATGCTTTCTTCAATAATAGTAAAATATACACACAGATGTTCAAGCTGCTGTGAATACCCTGGCATGTTCCTCTGTATTCTCTACATACCAAACGAACAATACCTGAAGATTAACATCTCCCATTTGCTATTGTTCATGTATCTATGGGCAGAATACAGATGACACCTGGCATTATGCCATAGGTAGGCTCATTTCAACCCCATCTTTAGTAGTCATAATGGGAAATTGTCATAATGAGAAATAGTCATAATGGGATGTAGTCATAATGGGAATTGTCCCAACTCGAGTGAAGCAACTAATCTGTCAAGGACACAGAGTAACTGTCCCAATTACACACATGACAGTAATTACAGCTGACTGTTAGCACCTAGCCTTGATCCAAGGCTGTACTGAATGCTAATCACAAAGATGTGTAGTAATTCTATCCGTAACAGAGACAAATCTAGATCAGCGTACAGTATGCCAGTCATTCTTAAGGACAACTTGTTCTTTTCATTCATATTTTATAGAAATTATTATTTAAACTGATAGTATTGCCGTAGAGACTTTTCCAAGCCTAGTTCAGTAAATGTCCCACAACAATGTTATATATATGTAATGTGGTGTAAGGCTTATATCTCATAGCTCCAAAGATGAGTTATGTAACAGGGCTGTTGAGAAGTGATGGAAACATACATGACGAAAGATAAACAGTAAATATACTAATTACAAAAACACAAACAATGTCACAACACATCATGTTTCGCTTCTTTGCCTCCCAGACTAGGATGTACCAATTATACAGGATCATATTCTCCATGGCACTTATTTAATTTATCTATACATCTACCGCACAATAGAGATTTTTTAATTGATGAAACTGGCTCAATACATTCTATATTTTCTAACTGGAGTATAACATCATATTCCCTGCAGAATAAACCACTACAGGGGTGGAAATAACCCATTGCCCGACGCCCGAGTCCAGTGTTTTTTTCTGTTGGACAAGCAAATTTGTATATCACACTGTACCGGTGTCCAGTTGACTTTCCAATATGAATTATGTTGTTTATTTAAAAAATCAACAAGAAAACAGCCGGTATAGTGGAAAAATTATCAGGTCAAGTGATTTTACATGTGCCACTGTACCGGAGTGCAATAGCAATTTTAAAGTTATTTCCACCCCTGCACCATAAACAGGAAACGTAGGCCTACACCAGTCACGACCCTCTCCTAGGGATGATAGTTAACAAATATATTACTAGGATATCAACTACATCATGTTACCAATGGCAACTTTTCATGATTTCTAAGATAGGTCAGATGCCAGTTTTCTTCCTTCATGATTAGATTCTGTAAAACAATCAGGTATTCATCAATGTGCTCTGATAAGTGCAAGATAAAGTTTCCATTTCTGTCATTTTATTTATGTCATATGTCATGACTGTTGCTTTTAAACATGGCATTAACCTGCATACCCTCCATGATATCTTCCCATAATTGTTCATTAGCCTGAATCTTCTACTAATCAAAACGTAATTACATTCATAATAATATCATGCTATAATAATATCATGCTCACACAAGCATAAACAAGAGGTATATTATGAAAGAAATATATAATATGATTAATAAACGATATATTATCATAATCGCCAGTGACCGTACACATAAGCAGTTTTAATCCATATCAATGAAGGGAGCGTGTACTGTTGGAACGACTGTTAATGTACCACGAAAACAGGTGACACTTCCTTCCACACTTTCATTGTTTACATCAGTCGGTAAATACAGCGAACAGAACCGAATTTATGGTCTGACAGCTCTGTGGCGTCTCTTGGCGGCCTAGTTAAGCCTCCAGTAATTGTGTTTATCTCATGACTACTGTTGATGTTACAGATGTGGCTGCAGCGACCATGCACATTAACCGCCACGGCAGCAAAACGTCATTGTTGTGTTGTGTCGTGTCACATCAAAACAAAATAGTGATCAGCTGTATACACAGTGTGTACTCACGTATGCGTTGTCGCAAGCCTCGTCTGCCTGGTGGCGTGGCATCGTCAGGACGTCGGTGGTCTGCGCGTTCGGAAGATATGGAACTCATTATGCCTACCCATCAACACTAATCAGAGTCCGAGTCAAATGTTAGTGGCACTTTGGCGACCATCTTCCCCCTCATATTCCTCGCCGCCATATTAGCACATGTGTGGTCACGTGATCTGATGGAAGCATTCCGATTGTCAGTGAAAGGAAGAAATGTCTGGAGTGTTTGGTGCAACCAAAACATGACGCTGGCTTTGTTTGTATAAGCTATGTTTATTGTTGATTAGTTTGTTTCTGGTCGGTTCAATTAACGTGTACAACAGGCTATATATTTGCCAAATATTGACTTATCAGTCTGTGATAACTGACACAGGTAATACAAAATCTTCTTGTGATGATAATAATAATAATCATAGTCGAAATGGAGTGTTCATTGGATTTATTAATATATTTAATCACGATATTACCGGTTTCAACTTAAAAGCGTTAGAGAAAATACAATGATTTTCCCAAATATCAAGATTCTACAGTAGCTTCTACAAGGTCACATGCAACCAAAACATCAAACATAATTAAAACACAATTATCACTTATTCATGACATATTATATACATTGCTGATTATGAAAAAACATATAAACAAAATTATAAGCGTACAATCGCAAATCAAAAGTGCAATATTTTGTGCTTGGGTTTACTTCCCAAGAAACGAAGCAGCCGGGATACCGAACCCAGTCAGAGTAGGTGGGTGTGCACTCAAGTGTAACGGCTGGTTCTTTTGCAGATGCTCTCACGGCTCATTGTGTGTGTATATAGAGATATGTTGGGTTTTGTAAATACATGCTCATTTTTTGTGTATAACATTTTGCAATCAACAGACATCATAACATGTCATGTGTACAAGTATCACACCTGCCTGTCTGTGTAATTACATAATGTGAGAGAGACCGAACTCGGGCCATAAATCAATGCGTTTTGTTTATGGTGTATAGCCTGATAGGTGTTAAGTTCAAATTGCATGTGGTTAGTGATTGAAATTGTGTATTGAATATTGTCATAAGCAGACGGGCAGGCAGACACATAGGTGCCAATAAAACAGACATTGAGTTTTGTCTGTGACAACGACATATCTATATCACAGTTAGAAATTCTGTCAACGCCAAATAATGACAATGCTTTTAAGTATCGAACTGAGAAAGTGACTCGGTAAGAAGAACGTGTGGTGAAATAGACAAATGAAATTATATAAACAGTTAAATCGGTAATTTACTGTCATAACATATAAAAAAGCTCGCGCCTGTGAAATAGCAACAAAACATTAGAAAAATAGCTCACACCAAAGCCTTCACCGAGTATTCACCGGACAACCCGCTTCCAAGCTGCGCGAACCTATTTCACTGCGCATGTGCTATGAGCGCAGCCCAGCTGTTAAACCCACTTTTCCCCCAAGCGCTGGGGGAAAATTAGTGAATCGTTTGAATTCCGAATTCGCGCGGTTTTTTTCATCATGTTATTTTTCAACTTTATAAGTTGAATTTGCATTTTTGATGATTTGTTTCGGTAAGTCCATACCGAAAGGTATCAGAATCTGCAAAGTTGTGTTTTACGTTGCATGTGACCTTTAAACCGTTGTATAGATTGTCAGCACACGACGATTGATCGCAAAGCGAATTTACTAAAGACACAATGTTCATAAACGTTACACATCTCAATATTGCATAACACTTCCTTGTAAAGTTTATGCTGTGTGACATTTTTTAATTCTTTATTACTGTGTGCAACATTAGTTATACAACCGGTTTAAGTATATATGCGTATATTCTCCATATTGTCATGGGTCGGACACTGGAGAGACACAACACTGTTCTGGTCAGTAATTCAAGATGCCGAGGCCAGACCAGAGTGAACAGCCACGTTTGGATTGGAATGGACTTCATCAGAAGAAGAACCTCATCTCTATAACATCCAGCCTTTTGTAACTAAATTACACTCATCTCAAAAACATCGGAGAGAAGAGGTTTTTTAAACATACTTCGTCTCGGGTATTGCGGTCTTTGTGCATATCTCAGTATTATTTATAAAAGACATTTCTGCAAATTGTACAGTGTGTAATCAGCTAGATCACGTGGCTCAGGTTTACTGCATTGTCCAAAATATGTAAATCAACGCAAGGCAATGGTGGAATCTCTTACAGTTCTCAATGTAGACCTCTCATTGGCTCGACTATCATGTTCAAGGATATCTTTCGCCATGAAGTTCAGAATTTAATTCTTACTTAAATTAAAGCGTGTGACAGCTTTGTTACTTTATGAAATTTTAGAAACTTAGCAAATCTTTATGATGGGTAAGATGTAGATGGGCCTAGTTGTCCGAAATCCTATTCAACATTCAATGACCGACCAACCAACCAGCCAACCAACCAATCAATCAATCATATGATTGGCTGTTTGAGCTCGATTTCGTACAGCTTTTCCCCTGTGTTCTTGACTCAGGCTGCCCTGTGCCGGGCTACCAGTAACAGGTTTTTCTATGGAAGCCAGTTACAAAGCGTGTACATCACAGCATGAGGCACATTGAAGTTATTGGCTACCCCGCCGAGTTTCAGCAGTCTCAAACATTAGATGCAATCGCCATTAGGTGCCCATTAAGTTGTATAGGCGACGCATTTCTCATTACACATATTACGGTCAGGTGGGAGCTTACGGTCAGGTTGGGAGCTTACGTGTTACTGTGGAATATGAAAAACAAAAATTCTAATAGTTCAGTTGGACTTTACGGTCAACATGGAGTGAATGACCCCCCAACCACATGCACGGAGGAACTGCAAGGTCCGCGTGCAGTGTTTCTGGTGTTTCACACGTCGGGATACCGATATCGTACCTCATTTGCCACTTTTTGTTTATGTGATGAGATGAAGCAGGAAACTGTTAAGTTGGATGTATTCCCCCACACACAATGTATCTGACCATATTTGTAACATTTCATTTCTGTTTGAGAGCGTGACCTTTCTTCTACAGTTAATTATATACAGTGAAGTGTATGCACGTGCTTCTTGTTGTCCATGCAGGGTGGTGGGGTAGCCTATAGTGGTTAAACCGTTCGCTCATCTCGCCGAAGACACGGGTTCCCTTCATGGGTACAATGTGTGAAGCTCATTTCTGGTGTCACCGGAATATCGCAATAAGCGGCGTAAAACTATACTCACTCACTGTTATCCATTCAACAGATAGCCTTGTGCTTCAAGCGTTGGCCCGTCACGCCGAGGGCATGGGTGCGATTAATATATGACGTCAATGTACGAGGGTCATTTCTGGGGCGCCCGTCGCTATGTAGCTGGACTATTGCTAAAAGCCCCATAAACCCCCACTCCCCCACTCATGAATACCCCGCTCAGAAGAGAACACTGACTCCAACCCCAACATTTCAACGGAAACAACAATTAAACCTAACTTAGAGTTGATTAGTTCGATGTACACATGCAAATAGTACGTAGTAAGGAGCCAATAGTGCCAAGTAGGACGCCATTAGTACTAGGTAGGGCACCAATAGTGCCAAGTAGGACGCCATTAGTACTAGGTAGAGCACCAATAGTGCCAGACCAATGAGGGCACCAATAGTGCCAAGTAGGACGCCATTAGTACTAGGTAGGGCACCAATAGTGCCAAGTAGGACGCCATTAGTACTAGGTAGGGCACCAATAGTGCCAAGTAGGACGCCATTACTACTAGGTAGGGCACCAATAGTGCCAAGTAGGACGCCATTAGTACTCAGGTAGGGCACCAATAGTGCCATGGGACGCCATTAGTACTAGGTAGGGCACCAATAGTGCCAAGTAGGACGCCATTAGTACTAGGTAGGGCACCAATAGTGCCAAGTAGGACGCCATTAGTACTAGGTAGAGCACCAATAGTGCCAAGTAGGACGCCATTAGTACTAGGTAGGGCACCAATAGTGCCAAGTAGGACGCCATTAGTACTAGGTAGGGCACCAATAGTGCCAAGTAGGACGCCATTAGTACTAGGTAGAGCACCAATAGTGCCAAGTAGGACGCCATTAGTACTAGGTAGGGCACCAATAGTGCCAAGTGGGACGCCATTAGACGCCATTAGTACTAGGTAGGGCACCAATAGTGCCAAGTAGGACGCCACGCCATTAGTACTGAGTAGGGTGCCAAGTAGAGCGCCATTAGTACTAGGTAGGGCACCAATAGTGCCAAGTAGGACGCCATTAGTACTCAGGTAGGGCACCAATAGTGCCAAGTAGGACGCCATTACTACTAGGTAGGGCACCAATGGTGCCAAGTAGGACGCCATTAGTACTAGGTAGGGCACCAATAGTGCCAAGTAGGACGCCATTAGTACTAGGTAGGGCACCAATAGTGCCAAGTAGGACGCCATTAGTACTAGGTAGGGCACCAATAGTGCCAAGTAGGACGCCATTAGTACTAGGTAGGGCACCAAGACGTCTGGCCAAGTAGTCTGGCTACGTTTTAAAATATTGTGTTTTTTATTTCAGTTCATATGAATGAACGCTTGTATATTTTTAAATACATGTAGTCGTAATAATATTTCAGCTTTAAAAACAGCATAATGATAGCACCGAATACAGTCAACTGTTTATAGACAAAATAAAGATGACTTTCACTTACTCCCTGATTGCCGAGGATCTATGTCCTGCTCTTTCGGCGATCAGCTGCTCGTCAATGCCAGACTCGTATGGGCGTGTGGCTGTCGTTGCCCGAAGAGAATGATTTGTAAAAAATCCCTAAAATCCAGCCATTTCACAGAGCATCCTCACAACGCCGGACAAGGTGTGCCTCCCCGCTGCTACGGAGAATGCAGTACCACGTGTCAGGCTTTGGATATTTCAAGGCACGGACGTAGAATGCGTCGCACCCACTTGGTCTGTCCAAGAAATCAGTTAAACGTTTTAGTTTAAAGTCAGAATCTCTGTTTCGAAATAGTTAAAACAAATAGAGTGAGTGAGTTTAGTTTTACGCCGCAATCAGCAATATTCAAGCTATATGGCGGCAGTCTGTAAATAATCGAGTCTGGACCAGACAATCCAGTGATCAACAGCATGAGCATCGACCTGAGCAATTCGGAACCGATGACGTGTAAAATATAGAGAAAGAAAGTAGGCTAGCAGCTCAAATACAACGTATGTTCTAATTCTAAAACAATAAGCAAACGTGTATTACATTTATCAAACGAATCAAACCCGTTGTCGACTGGCAACGAATAGACTTCCGGGTTTGTTTTCTTTCTTTTTGCTGTTAAGTTGATCAGCATGCCATATCATGATGAGGGGTGACAGAAGTTTACAATATTGTAAATCACCAGTTAGGTAAAAATAATTTTTACAACTTTTGTTTGAACGAAGACTTTGAGGCATGAGATGCAATGCCACTTGAACAG